GCGTATTCAATGGAAGTATGTTACCAGCTGCCGGTGCTGCCCCTGGACAGGCCGGTCCCCCAGCACGTCCTCAGTCGCCGAGGAGCCATCAGCTTCAGCTCCAGCTCCGCGCTCTTCGGCTGCCCCAATCCCCGGCAGCTCTCACAGGTAAATCGCCGTCACCGCCGGGGGCTCACACTTGGGAGCTTCTCTCTTTGTTTCCCTCTTCCCACTGCCTTCACCTCCGCGACACCCTCATTCCTCGCCGTTCACCCAGACCCAGCGTTGCCCTTTGGGGCTTTGTAGGCTGGCCCTTCGATTCGAGAGGCTTTTCTTTTATCCTCGGGGCTACCTACTTCTTAGTCCCCGGCCTCCACGCGGGTGGGGTCCCGGAGCCCTCCAGACCCTCCCCAGTTCGCCCCCGCCCCGTGCTCAGCGGCTTAATCCTCAGTAATGACTTCGTCTTCCTCCTTTTCTCGGCGTTTCGGTCTGGGAGTTGGGCCTCTCTTCCTTAGTTGTGGCCCTGACACACCTGTGCCCCCCCCACACCTGTGCCATGTTCGCGCCTCGCTTCCCCCAGCTCCCGCGCACCCCGTGGTGCTCAGGTGGTCCTGCGGTTCTCCCAACAGTAGGCCGATTCCCTTGTTATTGTTCTCCCAATTCCTTCGATTCTGTGGATGGACCCTAAGTGACATCTGAGAAACAAGTATCGAGAGTACTTCTCTCAAGGTTCGGTTTCTGCAGATTTGATAGCCAGAAATCAGTTTTGTTTTTACTTTGATAAGGAGATTTCAGAAGAGAAACTACTGATGAGTACGCAGGAAGACTTTGTTTTGAATGGTCCAATACTAGTTGCTCCTGAGAATTTCGTTTTTTTCTGCGGTGATGGTGTTGGCTCACTTCTTAGTTCTTGCTGTTTTTAGTTGCGAGATTTAAAATAGGCAAAACTAATTTTGTTTACATTTGAACTGAGTGCCCTCCATTTCTGCTGCCAGAATGTTACATGTTTATGATTACTTTTTAATTCAAATATAGTTTTCCTATATTAATGTCTTATGGGAATATTTTTCCTCTGTGTTGTAAATGTCTTGAGCTGTGTCTGTTTTGCTGTTTTTAAAAACAGAGTGGAGCACCTGGTAGAGATTTTGCTTTTAACAGGTGTGTCCAGTAAATATTTTGTCATTTGCTTTTTTTTTCCCTAAATTGCTTGTCGAGAGTAAGAGCCTATAGTTGGGTTTCTCTCTGAACTGTTTTTATTTAAAATCAGACTTTTTTCAACAACAGAAATGGAAATAAACTCATAGATACAGAGAATATTTTGAGGGCTACTATTTTTTTTGGGGGGGGGGTCGGGCGATGGCCAAAAAAGGGCAAAGGGATTAAGAAGTACAAATGGATAGTTACAAAATAGACATGGAGTTATAAAATATAGCATAAGGAAGATAGTTATTGTAATAAATATATGTAAGGGGAAGAGGGGTACTAGATTTAGTGGGGTGATCAGTTTGTGAGTTATATAGATCTCTAATCCCTATGTTGTACAACTGAAACATGTATTACTGTATGTCAACTATAATTGAAAAAAATTTGTTGATTGTACAACGTAAATATGAGCAACTAATCGCCTATTATATTTCAATAAAGCTGGAAAAAAAAATCAGACTTCTTTCACAAGAAGTGGTTGTCTACTAATGAGGTCAGAGCCAACTTATAAAAATTAGTGTGATAATTTTTGATAGCACTACATTGTTATTTGAAAGTTGGGTCCAGGATCTGCCTTTATAGTACTGCTTAAAGCATTTTTAGGTTGCAGAACGAATTTTGAACAGAGATGAATGCATTGCTGAAAAAAGTTTTTAATGGTAGTAGTTGAAGGTTTTTAATGGTAGCAACTTTTTTCACTTGTAAATATGACTTTCTTAGATAAGCGGGCACATGACTAGTACCCACGTCCAGTTCAGTCTAAATAATAAAGGCAATCACTAATCAATTATCAGCGCTAAAATACACATAGTTACTTAGGCTCCCTGAGGAGAAAGTGAATGAAAAGGGAGATTCCAAGGGAATTGAAACAAGTCAAGCTGATTCGAGGCATTTTACCTAATGTCTTAATTAATCCACAGAGACCAGTTCAAGTCACACTCCTTGACTCATTTCTTAGCCTTAGGTTGTAATGGGTAATAGAATTTAAAACATGATTGTGGCAGATAATATTGTAGAGTCAAACCATATTTTACTGTCTTGAAACTTTAAAAAATTTTCTGTGCCCCAAAGTGAGGTATATTGGAACTTCTGAAAATTTGGACAGAAATTTTTCTGAATTAACACTTTTTTCTAACAATGTTGCTGAACATTAAAATGAAGGGAAACTTACCATGATGCTGAAATGGGTATGTTTATCATCACCAAGACTATCATTTAATACTAAAGCATATATTGATTTTTTTAGGTCTAGATGAGACTTTACAATAGGAAAAAGAGGTAGAAAATCTTGTAATCTTATTCCGAGCTCTATAAAATAAGTATTTGGTTAAATCAGAAGCTTTCTTCACCCTTGACTCTTCAGTTCCTGAGTCTAAAGCTACAGAAAGTATAAAAAGTTTAGGTGGCTTCATAGTTTCACTTAAAAGGCTTAAAAAAAACACACCTGTTTTTGTGCTTTTTTAGGTACTAAGAAGAAGTTTTTTTGTATTAGACTTTTTGTATTTTAAAATATGTTCAAAACTAGCAATCTTTTCAGTTTTTTATTTTCACCATAATATTGAAACCCAGCTCACAGTGATACTTAAATATTTATTGAATGAGTGAATGGGTAATGAAAGTTATCTGTGACTGAGCATCAATTTCAAGTATGAAAACAATGTAAGGACTTTAATCAAGATATAGTAGTAACTCATTCATCCAAAACTTGGTTTGGAACTTGTAACTGTAGGCTCTAACAGATTCAGGAAGTACAAGACCGAGCAACCAAAATAGATTTGGAAATCCTCTCAAATCCCGTGTTTTATTTAGGCAAAATTCTGACAAACTCGTTTTCCAAGTAGCAGCAGATTTGAAGGGCTGGGAGACTGCTAGAGTCAGGTTCACACTGATAGCAGCAAAGCCAGCAACTTTTACAAAGGCAGCCTGGGGACAGATAGTTTAGGGGCATGAGTGTTGTACAACACAATAATTATTAGTCAAAATAATGTAAATAGATCCTATTTTTTTAAATTTAAAGATTTGTACTGTTAAAAATCTCCATATCAGACAGTTTAAGTGTTGATGCTTAAATGGACGCTTAAGTGTTGAGTTATCTGGAAAATTCATTTCTGTGGAACACCAACTCTCCCAAGGATGCCAAGTAAATGAGTCATTAACTTTTTGTTTTAAACAAGGTTGTGTTCTACTTTCTCAAATGGTTAATAAGGGTTTTTAAAAACTTTTTGGAAAATAAGGGATATAAAAGTAGCTTGGTTTTGCCATTTTGGGTTATGTATTGTTGATAGGTAGGTTTAAACATTTATCTTGCAGGATAAAGTTCTTTGGAAAAAATATTGTAAGAGCAGCAATTGTCTTGTTCACCACTGTCTGTCCACAGTGCTTTGCATGGGTAGGTGCTTAGTATGTGGAAGGTAAGTTAGTGTATTGATGGCAAGGCAGAGCACTGCACCTGGGGTGTTATTTCAGTCAAAATTTTCTCTGCACTGGAAACAAGCCTTATTTGGGTTAGAAATTTGAGGTTTAATTTTTAAAATTTATTATAAATATGTGATATTTATTATAATTGAACAAAATATTGGGATCTGCATATAAACCTGTGCTTTTAATAGCATAATCTAAATTTGACTTCTAGGTTAGCATCTATGTCTTTTTCTAAAATAGACTTTTTAAAAGGGAAGTTTTAAGTTCATAGCACAATTGAGTGGAAGGTACAGAGGTTTTTTACATAACCCCCTGAGCCCACACATGCATAGCCTCCCCCTTTATCAACATCCCTCATCAGAGTGGCACATTTGTTACAATTACTGAACCTACGTTGACACATCATTATCGCCCAGAGTCCATAGTTGACATTAGGGTTCACTCTTGGTGTCTTTTTTTTTTTAATACAGAAACTATTTCACAAATACTGAACACCTTCTCTGAATGAAGTTCCTTGTATTAGGTCTGAGAGATGTAAAGAATTAGTAGTTTGTTTTTTTTTTTTTTAATCATTTGTGAGCCTGCCAACCTCAGTTTTTCTTTGATACATTACCTTCCTTATACATAAGCATTTTCAGCTGTAGTCATTTTGTACATCTGTGTTGTCTTTAGCAGTGTTCTTAGTATGTGATAAATTATCTAGGTCCTTCATGTGCCAGAATAGTTCAAAGCCCTTGGATAAAAGTTGGTTCCTCCTTCAAGAAGCTTACAGGATTATGGTGGGGAAAATGCTATGATTATATATGATATAATTTTTATACTGGAGTTATCAAGTGTATTATATGAAGGTATCCCTAAATTTCCTGGGTAAATCAGGGGAAGCTTCACGTTCTAGTTGTGGCTTAGGCCAAGGCCCGAAGGTTAAATAGGTGTTTCTAGGTAAACGGGTACATTTAGGGGGATGGGGAGAGGGTGGCCCAGGTAGTTATGTAGGTGAACACTATTCAACAGACCTTTTGTGATGATGGAAGTGTTCATTGCAGTATCCAATATAATAGTCACTAGCCATGTATAGCTAGCTAGGTGAGCACTTGAAATGTGGCTAGTTTGAGGAACTGAATTTTAAATTCACTTTTATTTAAATAGCTACACATGGGTAGTGGCTATTGGCAGAGCAGATCATTAGTTATCATTAGTAGTGGTGTAATGTTGATCTCTGAATGTTGAATATTTGAGTTACTTTTGGGTTCTTGCTGTCGTACAGAAAACTTTATACCTTCATGTGTGTTTGACAAAGTCTTTAGAATGGAATTTCTAGGTTGGGTCAAGAGGTAAGAACATTTTCTGGCTTTCTAGAACACTGTCCTTTTATAGTACCAAGATAAATGGTTATATCTCTTTTATCTCCAATCATGTTATTAGATTATAATACTATATGATTAATATACATTATTTTATAAATATTTTATAAACATTTATATAAACACTTTATAGGTGCACCAGGGTACACTGAGTTAGTTTTAATTATGCGGCAAGCCAGCCTG